TGTTTTGTATATAATATAATTTATCGTATACCAATATTTCCATTTTTGAATTTAATGTCTGCGTTTATATTAATTGGTATTGGTTGTGATGATATATTTGTATTTTTTGATATATGGAATCAAGAAAAATTAGAATGGTTAAGAAAATATCAAAATAAACTATTAACTGAAAGTAAATTTTATTTTATTTATTTATTTAAATAAATTATTTATTTCATTAATGTAGATGCAAATATGTTAGATGTACCTTTAAATCAACAAAAAAATCTAAGCAAATTAAAAAGATCATCTTCTCAACATTTATTTTTATTTAAACATTCTAAAGAAATTCGTAAAGTATTATTAAGTGAAGAAGCATTAATAGAAATAATGTCTAATACATTAAAACATGCTGGTTCATCAATGTTTGTTACATCATTTACAACATCAGCTGCTTTTTTTACAAATATATTAACTAATATTTCATTTATTCAAGTATTTGGAATTTTTATTGGAACATGTGTTTTAATTTATTTTGCTATTACATTTACTGCAATTGCTGCTTTTGCTGTAAGTTGAATTATATTTAGAATATTTGACGAAACAAAAAAAGAACAATTATACACTATTGTTTTTTTTTCTTTGTTTTCATATTGAAGGTTATTTATGAAAAGCATATTCAAAATATGATATCTCATGTACTTTCAATGTGTTGTACTGATTTTGTCAATAAATCAGCAAATAGTACACTAGCGAAATTATATCATCGTTTTTCATTAGCTTGTAGAAATTTTCGAAATTATATTTTTAGTCATTTTATGCCATTAATAATTATTAAATTACGTTATGTATTAGTATTAATTTTTCTTCTTATGGGTATTCTAGGTTAGATGATTTACTTTCTCAATTTTAAAATAGATTAAATATTGTTTTTATTAATGTGAATTATCTATAGGTCTTATTGGTAGCTTTTACTATCCTAAATTAAAAGTACCATCAACACAAAAAACTGCTTTATTTTTAAAAGATAATCCAATGGAAATCTATGAATTTTCAATGAAAAATCAATTTAATGGTTATTTAAAAGAAGATAAACGTTTATTTACTTATCCAGCTATTTCATTTGTATTTGGCATACGTGATATTGATGATGGTTATATATTTGATATGAATGATCGTGGTCGTTTACATTTAATGCCACTATATTTAAATCGACAAATCACGCTTGAATTTTTTAAAAATTTTATTAAACATTTAGGAACACGAAAAGACTTATTTTTGTCAAATTATGATTTAGAGGAAGATTTTAAATTATTTTATGAGGTAAATTTATTCCTTCATGTATATGATTAATTAATAATTTATTTATTTTTTTCTTCTATAGCTTGCTACGGATGATATTTTAGTAGCAAAAGTTATTAATGATCGA